TGATCATCATCTTTCAAAGTATAAAAAATAAACTGTGCCATACCCATTAAAGAAGCCTAAATATTACAGTAAACTTTGAAAATCTCAATCTCTCTCTCTCTTTCTCTCTCTCTCTCTCTCTCTCCCCCTCTTTGGTAACAGGGGTTGAATCTAGGGGCGCTTTACCAATGAGCTACACCCCCAGCCCTTTTTATTTTATTTTTTAATTTTGAGACAGGGTCTCATTAAATTGCTTAGGGCCTCGCTAAGTTGTTGAGGCTAGCTTTGAGCTTGCAATCCTCCTGCTGTAGCCTCCCAAGTTGCTGGGATTACAGGCGTGCACCACTGCACCCAGCTAAACGGAGAATCTTTAAAAGTATCAATTAAACTGAATTTTTGTTGGCAATTTTCTTTGTTTCTTTCTTTCTTTTTTTAAAGCCAGAATCTAATCTGGAGAAAAAGATTAAAGACATCTTTTAAGTATGAATGTGAGTCGTTCCTATCTGAGAATAATAAGCCTGGTTCATGAAAACCATTTATAAAAAGGTTGTGCTTATAAGACGTCCAGAGCATACGAAGAGGAACGCTGCCTTGAGGAAGCCGCAGCCCAGCAGCTCTGCGGTCCACACCAGGTAGCTGAGTGTGCCTGGCTCTTTGTCTGCAGACTCGCACACTTTTACTCTGGTACTGATCACTTGAAAGCTTCGACCCTGAGCTGGCTGGTCCAGGGCCACCAAACAGCTCCATTAAACTGAGTCAGCAGAATCTTGACAGGACTAATTATTAATTGTTGTAGTACCCAATTACATTAATTGACCAATGTTTCCACCCAAGAAGAGTTGCTGATATACATTCTCTTTGCAGGATTTTATTGGAAGAATTTTATGCTTTAAATGTGATTGAGAAGAGTACTGAAAAGGCTGTATGGCTGTATGTCAAGAATGAACACTGCTCTTAATTCTCTGGATTCTCACTGAAAATACAGATCCTGACACTGGGAGATTCGTGTTTGTCTGTCTTTAATACACTTTCAATTCCCAGGGTACACTTAGTAAAGTGTATCTGCACCTAAATATTGGTATCTCTAATGACTCTTTTCAGTGCCCCCCCCCACATACAGATATTTTGCATTTCTAATTTGCTTGGTACACAGGCAAGCAATGTGCATAATTGAACTGCAAATGGAAGCGTGCTTGCTACTTTAGTGAAATTAGAATTCAGTGAAGGTTATAAAAATATTAAACTTACTATCATATTACAGGAAGCATAAGCATTTGTGATGGGCCCATGATTTTACCACTTCACCTGCTGTACCCGCTGGCAAACATGGTTTRGAATATTAATGGAAACCCCCCTCATTATTAAACTGCAGTATTAAAAAAGAAAATCCACTAACAGCTTACCACAAAGTCATCTTCAGAAATTATCTACCTTAAAAACATTTTCCCACCATACAGTTCAGAAACAGACTTAATTTTGAAAAGCTAGAACAAACAGGGAGGCCCCCCACTGCCTCACACAATTCATTAATTCAAAAAGTTCTATTTTCCTTGCAGCTGAAGTCTAGGGGAGCGGGGATACAATCTCCTCTCCTGCAATCTCCATTTCAGTGTGCCTATTTTGCTGAAGTCCAGATTTGAATAATTCAAAGCCAGCTCCAGTGGATGATGCAAGTCCAGGAGCAAGGGCCCAAACCAGGGCGTTCTGGACCAGTAGTGCAATAGAGAGGGCCTGCATCATACCATGCMTCATACCACAGGCACAAATCCCAGAAGGGGATACAGGAGAAATGAGACACGAGCAAAGARAAGAATGCAATCCAGAGAGGCGGCTTTTACCCAAGTCCACAAAAGAAGGGCAGGTCCCACTCTGTCCAACTGTCACTCTACCACCTGTGTTTATTAAAAGGAGATTTTTTTCAAGGACCCAGTAAGTAAGTGACTTGCCATGAACTGAAGAAAACAATAGGTCAGAGCCTGAACTTTTAAAACATAGTGGAAGGTCCCTTGGGTATCTGAAAGGTAAGAAGAGCTTCCAAGAGCACAGCTAAAGGATACCTGGCTCCACCTGTCACAGCACATCTGTGTGCCTTCCAGAAGCTGCAGCCTCTCTAGCCAGGTCCCTCCCTGGGCAGGTATCATCGCCACCATCCTCCCCCCCTCTTCACCTTCCTTCTTTCCTTTCTTCCCTTCCTTCTTCTTTCTTTAAAAGAATGATTTACAGCCCTTTCTAAGAGCTAGCACATCCCCCGGGCTTTCAGAAATGGGAGCAATGCACTAGTGGCGTCCTCTTCGGGCATGCGGTGACATTCTGTGTGGTAAGCCAGGCAATGCTGCTAGTATTTTAAGTTGATTTGATGAGCACCTTTTATAAATTATATTTGAAAATTTACTAGTGGCTTTTCATTACAAAACAAATGCATATTACAGAAAGAAGAAAACATATTAATTTATTCTGAACATTAAGAAAGGCACATAAATTGAGAAATTAATAAAATGGGATTCAAAAAGGTAATTCAAATATTATCCAATCCATCTTTAACAAAATAGCCAGTTTCTGTTGAAGCCGGTAGAAAAACTATGCAATTACACTCGGGCACCATGCTTCCAGTGAGTGCAGTGTCTGCAATTCTCTGGGAAGTGGACTCTACTCTCCATGTGATGATAAGAAAACCAGAGCCCATAGGGTCTAACAAGCTGGGCACAGGTCAACTGACTGCTGAGGAGCAAAGCAGAGCCTCCTGCTCAGTACCAAGAGCTCTGAGCACAACATGTTAAGCCACACATGGCCATGTGTGCCCAGGGAAGGAGGGAAGGCTGACCTTTGTGTAATTATACTGCCTGTCCACTGATGCTTCCTTCTCCTGCGTATATTCCCTCTCCCAAAGGAACCTGGTAACTCTGACACACCAATGTCCTGAGGTAGCTGCACTTCAAGCAGACCCCTGGACAAGGACAGGGCTTTTTATCCCAAGATATGCATGTACAATAAGTGACTGGTGGCCCTCAGCACCTGAAGCTGAAGCCTATGGGGCCAACCTTCCCAAGTGGCAAGGCAGCCCTGGAAATGCAATAACTCTGGCTCAACTCAGGTTCCCTTCAACACTGAAGTAAATATTGAATAAAAACAAAGGAGCCTTTTCTCACCTGCAAATATACCTTGGTCTCAGCTGGGGAAGGCTTGCACGTACACRGGCACTTCATCATACAACTGTTTTTTTTCCCCAGAAATACAATCCACTTTAGACTCATTTGTAAGCATGGCCACCTGAACTCCAGTGAGGCAGCACAGTACCACCAGGAGCCAAGACCCTCATTTCAAACAACAGCTCTACGCCTTACCAGCTGAGGACCCCAGATGACCTGTACCCAACTTTCTCATCCACAAAGAAAAGGCCACAACCACAGATCTTGGCCATCCTGAAGTAGTGAATGATAAATTAAAATAAACGCTCAGAGGGAGTTATTACTTTTTTAAAAAATTCCTCTTATGGTGAAAGATGAATATTTCTGATACACACACATTTATATTGATACCAAAAAGCACATCTACACTGTACATTATCCACTGAGATAAGTTTATTCAGAAAACTATACTGCTTCCCCCATATTTACTTTGGAAATTTACAATTTTTGTCTACAGACAACCTTGCTCAAATTCATTATACACAAGAAAATTGGGGGGGGGAGGCTAAAAGAAGAAAAAGATTTCTATCATCATTGATTTCAACAGAAAAAAAATGAGCCACACAGAGCCAGGGGACCCAGAGATGCCAGCCCCCAAGCTGCTCCCCTTCTCTAGCACGCTGCAGTGCAGAGTGGGCCACACCTTGGTTCTATCACTTTCCAGCATCATGAACCCCCAACCAAGAGTCCTCTTCTTGGTAAAACAGTGGTAACAGAGCCCCCCTCTCAGGGCAGGTAAGARACAATATGAGATAGAATACAAGCAGGTCCAGCACAGAGGGCCTCAACCAACACTGCCTTCCACCATCCTGACCACCCCTGCACAAGACTCTGCTTCCAGAGTGCAGAGCAGGTCCGCAGGCTCCAAGAGAAGTCCACAGGGAAGCTGGTGTTGGACGTCATCATGGCAGATGCAGGGAATAAGAGTTTGCAGAAACGATCAGATAATGAAACACCTTATATCTTTCCAAAGAGGTGAATCATTTTCTTTTAGGTGTCAAATGAATAGCCAAATGTATCACAATCAAATCTATCATGGAAAAAGCCAGACAGGTACTTGCGTCAAATAAATGGTAGCTTCTAATGATGCAGAAATCTCTGTGACACTGAGTCACCTGGTATTTAGAAGATAAACACACACTCCCCCTCTTGGCTCCAGAAGTTCTAATGAGCTAAAAGTTTATTCCATTTCTAAAAGAGATCTGAACCATCACTTATACCTCCTTAATTCTGAAATTCAATTCTCAATTTGGGAACTTTACCAGCATCTTTTCAAAAGCTGGACTTTGCAAAATATATGTACCCTCAGATAGAAGCAAGGATCAGACATGCTCAAAACTTACACCCTTGAACATATTCCATTTTCTTCAGCCCTCATCTCCCTTAGCTTTTCACAATCAGTAAAGTGCAGTTACCAATCATTGGAAATGACATGGGCTTAATGTCAGAAATCATTTAGCTTAAATAAGAAAATAACTCCATTTAGCTTTCTCCCACGAAGTAAAATTAAGTTTGTTTAGCCCTTTTTTATTTATTGCCAAAGGGCAGATTTAATTTCAAGGCAGTGAAAGCCAAACTCATTCTGAAGTCAAGTCTAAAGTTACCACTTTAATTTTGCTCTAACTATTGAGGCGCAAAGGCTGCAAGCATTAAAACAAAGAGGAATTAATTATGGAAAAACAAAAGGTGATAGGGATCACCAAGCTCTTTAATCAGGGCAGAGGGCTGGGSAAGGTGGAGAGCAGCCTATCCTCCTACAGTGCTCCCCTGCGAACCCACACTTTCGGAAAGCCCACTGGCTCCAGGGTCTTCCAGGCCTTCAGTCTTGGGACTTACCAGATACATTGACTGAGGCCCCTGCATCAATGATCCCGCTGTTGGGCCTCACGCAGTACCTACGAGGTGCAGTGGTCTTCACTTTAAAACACACATTTCGGTCTGTTGGGTTGCCAAGCTTTAAGTTGGTGGTGACGACATCGGTGAAGGGACCTGTTGGAGTAAGACAGACACTGATTGGGAAGCTTGTGAGCAAAGTTTATCAAACAGACTAGTTTACGGTAGGGTGAGTATGGAATATGTTAAAAGAGGACCCAAGGTGCAAAACTCTCGCTAACACATCAGTGGCTGGACAGCTGAGCAAGGGTCAGGTGGAGCCCGATAGCTGGTCCACCGCATTCTCATGACTTCACCAGGATTCTGATGTCCAGCATCTCACTGAAACTCACAACATCATGACTACTGCTGCTTGAGATGAAAAAATAGGCTCAGGAAGGCAAGTTGCTGTCCAAATTTCCACATTAGTTAGGGGTACTTAGGATGGGAAATTTGATGGCCGAATACAAGGCCCGTTCTTAACTGAGCTAAATACTCATTTCCTCAATAACAAGGGAGCATGTCAAGACTACCCGTGGCTCTCAGATGTCCTCAAGAGCAGACTTCCAAGAGCAGCAGACACAAGACAGATTTGTGGGTTAATGTGGGTGAACACAGAAGCCCTTATCAATCTAGTGTTGCTGCTAGAAAAGTTCCAGCCTCACAGGGCTCACTGAGAAGTTAGAGCCCTTCAGGGCAGCCCACACCTGAAACAGCACACTTGATGTTGACTGCCCTGGCGAATGGAAGAATGAAACAGAGCTCCATGCCCTGAGGATATTTTTTATTACTATTATTTATTCATTTCCTACTTTATTAGCTTTTTTAATTAAAAAACTAAAATATGCTTCTTAAAACAAACCAAACAATAAGATGTATAAAGAGAAATTAATAAGCACTCTTTTGTCCCCWGAGGTAATGGATACAACCATCTGGGAGATCTCGCCACATCATCTGTGCTCAGACAGCACATATACCACATGTGTATGCGGTGGGGAGGAGCAAGTATGAGATCAAACGATTCATATTACTCTGAAGCCTGCTGGTTTTCACCCCCCAATCCACAGCAGACATCTGATCACAGGGCTTACTTAGGAGTCAGGTGGCAGAACTGAATGCCAGGTGCCCATCAAGTTCACAACCTTTGAACACAGTCCTACCTTTCCCTAGGCAGGCCCTGCACCCTGCCTTTACAGTGACAAAAACACAAGGCACGGGGAAGAGGGGCATGTACTCCTGTGATTACACAGAAATACACAAAGGCTCATCTGTCCCTACCTGAGGAGATCTGACAAAGACACTCACATTTGTACTGGGTAAATTTTTCTAAGCTCTTGAGGGACAAAGGTTATAACTTGATCTATTTCTGTGTCTCCAACACTGTGCCCACCATCAAGGAGAAGTCTTGAGAAAAGAAGGATGAACATATAGAGAGATGGACAGATGGAGAGAGGGGAGGGATGGATGGATGCATGAAGAGATGGATGGACAGATGGCAAGATGGATACATGACAGAGAGAGGGATGAGARAGGGATGGAGAGAGAGAGATTGATTTTTTTTCCACTAAGAAGGAAACTACCCATGGATTAACTCTAGCAAAATTAAAATCTCGGCCTGGTTTCCTCTACAGGTGTCCATAGTATAAAAAAATCTATATTATATGGACTTAACTTAAAAACAAATTAAGAAATCAGTAATGGTGGACAGRAAGAAAGGAAAAGGAACTCAAATCCAACACCAAATAAACTACAGCCAGTTCTGCAACAAGAAAACACAAATTTGTCCAAATGTGATTGATGAGCATATTAGGAAGACAATCTGAGCATAAAATGATTTTCACATTTGCTTATGCATAATTTTTTCTTCAAGAAACCCTAAGTGAACACAGAAAACTGCACCCTGAACCTGGCTGCACAGAAATCTGCTAAGCACACATCCACACACACCTCAGCCACCTTTATTCAAACGACCTCTATCCACCCCATGGGGCACTCGCTCCTCAGGTCTGCATGGATGATACAACTTTCCCTCTTGGCTTCAGGTGACCATCCTTCTTCCACGTCACAGTAACAGCCAGGCTGCAACTCTCTGACACACGTGTACTGGTGAACTCCAGGTGTCTCCTAGGGAAGGAGCCATATCTGATATAGCACGTGTACCGTTCCCATCAGTCCCTCTGTGCGTGCACCATCAACACAGTCCTGGGGTCGTGTGTCTGGCCTACTTCCCTTGTTTTTTGCAAAGTGTGGTGATTGTACAAATGTGTATGGAGAATCACAATGGATTGGCCATACTATTGGCTCATCTATTGTTGGTRATTACTTACACTAAAAGTTATTCTCATTCTGTGGGCAACATCGCCTTCAAGGACTAAATACCCCAGAAGAATTTCTCACCTTATTTACCTCTTCATCTGCTTAATTTGTCTCTGGCCCTCCGGACTCAGCTGGAAGTCATGGGAAAAGGCTTCCTAAAGGGTCAGGAGGCCTAGCTGTATCCAGATGTGGGGAAAAGCAGTCTTCAATATTTCATCTTAGCTACCAATTCCATCACAAATAACCCTCCCTCTACACTCAGAATACAGGAGGCAGGTACCCTGTGGCCTAAGGGCTTTTCAGCTACAGTGAGAGACAGCCAGATGCTGACGATGCTACACCCTAGTAGCAAGCTCTTGGCAACCATGGAGAAACAAGACACCTGGTGCTGAGACAGTGTCCAGGGGATTATGGAGGCAGCAGCTCTCCTGGGCCTCTACCCTATTCTACCCTCCAGTGCTGAGGTCTGACCTACAAGGAAGATGGAGAAAGTCTGATCCCCCACCAAGTCTCTGTTTGCTTAAGGTGGTGATCACTTCAGCAAGCATAGGCTAAAAAAAGAATAGTTAAACACAGCTCTGACTCTCCAGGGTCAAAGAAAGCTATAAGGTCTGCAAACCTACACGAGGTCAAACAAACCACCTTGCAAACATATTCACTGCCCCACACATGAAAAAAAAAAAAAAAAAAACAACTCTAGTCACAACTCTACACAACACAGCTCTAGCTGAAACAGACCCACAGTGCTGGAGAGAAAACAGTGTATCTACATCAAGTGACACCCGCAAAGGACGGACATTCAGATGTGATGCTGGGGGAAGGAATTCATGGCAGTCTGTGACCCAAACACCTATGAGGCCTCAAAGCTTAGATAAGTCTTCCTCCAGGACATGGAGGCACCTTCAGCTTGGAAGGCCAAGAACCCAAGCAGATGTGCACTGTAGTGAGTGTGTGGAGGTGTACGGGCTTCCAGCTGTTTCCAGCRTCTCTCCCACTCCTGCATGAGGCCAGGCGGGAAGCCTGGGTTTAGGTGTTTGATCACCCCACACACCAGCCTCCTCCTGGTCCTCTACAGCAAAAAAAACAAATTAAACTGCAAACTCTAAGCTGTTTGCAGGAATTTCCCCAGATTACTCTATTACATAGCAATCTAAATGGTGTTTCACCTTATATAAATCACATAAAAGGTAGTGTAAATTATTAAAAGAGAAACAATATTTGTAATAATAAGCAGGATGAAATAAACACCCCATTCCCCCCTTAATACTCAATCCTGGGAGTTCTTGGGCTTTCACAAACATTTATTTGTAAAAATCCAAAGGGAGCTATGTTGAAAATATGCACAACAAAACAACATCACTGGTAAAACAGCAAAGTCCCACGGGTAAAAATTAAGAAATGTTTACCCATCCAGTCCTCCACTACCCACTCTGGGCAATTTACTCTAAGAATTTTATTGAAAATAAATTCTGTTCAATTTGAGTAATTACAGGAGATAAACCATGTTAGTGTGCTCCTCTTCCCCTGTATTAATGAATTAGAACACAAAAAAACCTCAATAAAAATGATGTAAAGGGTTATGAACATCATTCAGATTTTTACTAGTCACTTTCATTTCATAAAACTGCCATTTCCATTAAGGCATTATGTAAAAAATGGGATTTTACTATACAAACATGCATATTTATCACCAATGAATTTAAACATTGCTTATAAAGTACAAAGTCAATTTTACAAATGAAATCTCCTTCAAAAGTTAGAATTTGTTCTTTTAAGAGATGAAAAAAATGATTTGTCTCCAGTACCTCAGTACACTTTTAATCATTCTTCCTTCTAATATTCTATTCCTTATTTCAGATGTCTATACAAAGCTAGAACCTAAGTATCTAAAATATGAAACTGAAGGAAAATAAATATAGCAACATAAATTGGGAGACATTAGGAACACTCTCTCTTTTTTTGAGACACAGGGTCTCATTGAGTTAGTATCTCACTAAGTAGCTGAGGCTGGCTTTGAACTTGCAACACTCCTGCCTCAGCCTCCAAAGCTGCTGGGATTAAACGCGTGTGCCACCAAGTCCAGCAGGAACACTCTTTAACACTTTATTTTTCTAACAACTTTAAGTGGGTTTTGTTTTGTTTTGTTTGCGGGGTGGGGGGGAGGTTATATACTGGAGATTGAATTTGGGCACTCCAACACTGAGCCACATTTTGCATCTATTTAGAGACAGGGTCTCACTGAGTTGGTTGGCWCCTCACAGTTGCTGAGGCTGGCTTTGAATTTGCGATCCTCCTGCCTYGGCCTCCCGAGCCACTGGGATTACAGTTGTGTGCAGCAGGTTTATGTCCCATATTTTTTGTTTGCCTWTAAAAATTTACATAAGGTTGCAAAAGATGCTCCTGAAACAGCATTAACTGGTGGAATCTGAGCTCCTGGACATGCTCTTGTGTCAGATAAACCAAAGCACAGCATGAACTGCTCCCTCGTCCGGTCCCCCAGGCCCTTCTGAAAGGAAGAAATGAGAAGCTGGTCTTCCCTAAGAATTTTTTTTTTCCCTAAGAATTTTAATAAACATGCCAGTCTGCTGTGGGATGCTAACAGTGTAGCAGGCTGCTGATGTGTGGGGCGGGGGGCTTATGGAACTTGCATTTGCTATGAACTGAGAACCACTCTAGAAAATAGCAATATTTTTCAAAAAGAAGAGGGGGGAAAAGTATTTAGACTTTTATATCAAATTCACTTTTGGTAATGCCCTCCAACATTTCTGATATTTAGTATCATTGAGATTTTGAAATATACA